ATCATCAATCAAAAGGCAGGTCACCATTCATAGCCATCTCAGAACAGGCACTATATAACCGCAGCTGCTAAACAGCACTAATTTCCCAGAATGAAATACGTCGCGGCCACAGCGGCCATTTGCAAGATTTGTATCGGAGGCCATATTTCAAGGTCATGCTTCGGTTTCTGCCTATTAAAGCCTGTTTGAAACATTGAAAGGGCAGTTTATGTCTCGCTGAGGTCTAAGTCGGCACAATGGCTGATGTAAAGAGTGCTGAGTGATGAAAGAGGAGGGAGAGGGGAGGGGAAGGGAGGAAAAGGAATGATCGAAGGAAAAAGGAGGAGGGAAGGAAGGAGTTCGAGTTAAACGTGGATTAATGGACAATGGCCTTTTTCACTGTCAATGAGATTCGAGCATGGCTGGGATGTAAGTGTTGATAACAGAACACAGATCAATTCAGTGTAATATTTAAAATTCAATGTAAGTTCGAAAGATTTTTGTAACCATTTGAAAAGTAATACATTTTCTTAATAATCTTATTAATAATCTTAATAATCTACAGCAGGCATCTTAACATTTTGCAGGTCAGTAAAAAGAGACAGAGCAGGGACTCCCGTTACATATATATATAACTCCCGTTATATATATAAAAATAAAATATAGCATACTTATTGTATTATATACATGATGCATTTTTACTTTACTAAATACATTTTAATATCATAGTCTAATATATATATATATATATATATATATATATATTATAGACTATATTGGTGCACAAAATGCTTTAGTACATTTAAAATACAATTAGACATTGAACATCATGTAGAAACTGAAACATTTAGCAGCATTCGCATCTTTAGTAAAGCAAGTGAAGTCGAAATAAGAAATTTCAAAAAAATACATTTCAATAAAAATGAAATAAAAAAGAATTAAATGTTTCGGGTTATTAATATATTATTGAGTACAAAGTTTTGCAAAAAAAAAAAAATATATATATATATATATATCAGCCAATGAGATGAGATCCCAGCACTGTTTTATCAACATGCACCTGTCTGTTTCTCAAAACGTGTCAGTGAGGTCACTGAGGTAAATACAAATTAGGGTGACTATCTTTTAGGGGACAGGTGTGTGTTACAATGTTAGGGAACAATATATGCAATATAGCTTTTGAAATTCATTATGCTTGGTATTCGACCACTGAGCACATATGCACTTATTCATCTGTGTCACAATTCAAACTTCTTAATTCAGTCGTTTTTTTTCTTTTAGGATATATTGTATTCATTAATTACTCTCATTCAATCTGTGCAGCACTGGGGAAACTCGGCTAAACTAGTGGCAGGTGCTGTTCTTATTGTCTAATTCTTCACATAATTTCTACTAATACATCTGTGATTTTGGGTGAAGGCATGATATCAGAATGAGCATCCTCCCATACCCTTGTATACCGACTACAAATGGGGCATGGACACCGTGCTCAGCATGAATGCTTGGCCTCACTTGGACAAATCATGTTCGTACAATGTTTGGAAAAACTACAGCGCCACCTGCTGAAAAAAATCATAATCTCACTTCTGCCAGATCACAGCCATATGCAAACATATGGACAGGTTACACTCCATTCATTCCAGAACAACTGTGCTCATTCATCCATACCCCAGAGATGAAGTGTTTAGCCCCTGCTGGGAGAATGACCTCTGAAGACTCCCTGACCATCACTGTCAACATTCGGCAGAACTTTCTCAGACTAAAGAAGACAAAGGAACGGATAAATGCTTGTCATGGCACATTAAATGCACTAAAATGGGTCTGTTTTCTATTTACTCATACATTTGAATTATACAGTACAATATTGCATGGTTTCTGTAGCATTGGTATGGCCAGTTGGTGATTTATACAACTGTACATTTGAACTTTATTCAGTTTTACAAAATTTTTACTTATATATTATTACACCAAACGTCTATTGCATGTTATACAATGACACATCTATTAGTCACATATAACAAATTGATGAAACTAAATGAAAATATTGATTCAGACTGCATGTTGAATACATAAATGATGCAAAGATGTATCATCAAGCACAAATACTAAATTACAGATATACTATCAGCGCATGTGCACATTATATATATATATATATATATATATATATATATTGTAATAAGTGCCCCCATAATCTTTAATCAAAGCAACATCTCTTCTCTTCTTTGCACAAGGGCAGGACAACATGTCACTCACAAGAGATCGAAGCACTAGCAACAATCATCCAATCAATTCCCGAAGAACAAAACCAAGTCCCATCCAACATTATTTCTTGTTAGAGAAGCCATTTTACTCAGATATATGCCACGATAGGGAAGAAAAGATTATTTTAACTTTTGTTTCATGCTGACTTCAATGATTTTCATTTGTATGGATATAGGCTAAACATGTTTTACACTTGCTACTGAATTCACAAAAGTAGCCTAAATTTTTCACCTGACACTTTGGTAAGCTGAGATCATTTGGTTAAGGAGGCCTGGGTGGAGATTGTTGGTAATTTGCACTGCGGGGCAGCCCCTACTACTGACTGTAGTCTTTAGCCTCTGGCCAAAAAATCTGTCCTGTCGCTGCTCTGTCTGTGCTGTGTGCTGTGGAAGCTTGTTGTCACCAAGACAAAATCCTTACATGTGTAAGCATACTTGGCAATAAAGCTCTTTCTGATTTTTCATGGTGGTAGAGAATTGACAATCTTTTTTTTTTTTATAAATAAATTAACCATCAAACAAATTATTGAATAAAGTAAGCAACGTTAGAATGTAACAATGTCAGACATTGATAATTCTCTGGACAAGTTGATAAAGGTGTGGGCAGCTGGTTAAATTCTGTCGTTTCTGCAGTCTTCAAAGACCTCTCTCTCTCCAGATTCAAAGCTGTAATGTCTGATCCTGACATTTTCAAGGCAGGCTTGTCTAAACTTATACCTTTGTTTTACAGCATGGCTGAATTTCATCAGAGACACGTTTCTTTGGTACAGCATTTGGTTTAATTTGACCCTTTTAAAAAGTTATTCACATCGGTTTAATATGATGTTGTTTGGTCATGTGGGGCAAAAATATTAAAATATTGGCAGAAACAAGACAATATTCAAGTTACTTTACAATAATACTGCAAGCAAACACAAAGGGAAGGCACACCCATTACAGGTAGTAACCAAATAAAACGTCTCGGGTTCCATTGCTCTGGCCGGAGGTAAAATATTGCTCCAGAGGGACCTGCCACGGGAGGCCGTCTAGATATTTTCATGTCATTTGTTTTTTTAACAATCGAGTCCTGGTGTCCACTACAGAGGTCTTGGCATAACATAGGAATAAAATATCTTTTTTTTTTTTTTTTCATTTGTTTCTTATGGTCTTAAAAAAAGGGAAGCGCAGGAAAAAATTTAAAACGATTCTCGACGTTCGCTGCTCTCCATAATTCATCAGAATTAAATTCGGCCATATCACCAACAATACTGTTTTAATATTATTCACATCTCTTTATCTACACGGTGCCTCGGCAACCGCGAGAATCGAGCCATAACGATATGGCTTTCATCCCTCGAGAATAAAGTCAACACGTGCGAGGCTGAAACATTCAAAAGCGCACAATTTATTTTGTAGGCCTATGCGTCGAGATATTTCTCAATAAACACCAGCATCCTCAGGAGATGACGTGAATGTCTCGCACAAAACAGTATTATTTCCTAGATTGTGTGTCCCTTATATTTTAGACCCGTAATCTACGCGCTTCCTCGGCAACGCGAGATTCGAGTCATTTACAATATTTGGCTTTCATCTCTCGAGAAGAAAGAGAACGGGCGCGAGGCTGAAACGCACGGCTTTGTGCGTCAAAATATTTCTCAATGAACACAGCCAGCACCCTCAAGCCCACACAGAATCTTATTGCATTGTAGACCTGTAATCTACACGCTGCCTCGACATACGCGAGATCAGAGTCACACAATCAATTGCAAAGTAGACCTGTAGGCCTAATCTACACGCTGCCTCGGCAAACGCGAGATCCGAACCACTCTATATTGCAATTATTTTGGGACAAACAACACCAAATAGGACATACAGTTTGACACAGAGCGCTTGCTGAAGAGCAAAAAGCTGATGTGTGTGTGCTCTGGGCGTCCCTTTGTAGCTTCCGGTTATGCCGTCATCTACTATGCCATGACGCAGCACCAATCAGGATTGGACAGATTTCATTCATGCTTCAGACGCGCTACGCTGGGGGCGTTCCCCAATGTTTCACAACGATGACGCAGTGCGAGTTCACTTGAAGGGGAACATACTTGTAGGGTGCTTCTCATTTCTTATTTGTGCATCCTCGTTTCCTTTCCTTGCGTCTCAGCTCCACCCCCTGTAGGACGTGAGGGAAGGAAGCGAGGAAAGGAAAGGAGGACAGAGGAATCGAATAAAAGCTTTTTTATATCCATTGGAATTCTTGATCACTCGAGCGTCACTCCACAGTGTCATCAGCAGCGCTAAAAGGATCTGCCCTTATGTTGTTGAAGTTTGGTAATTCATAATAAATAATAATAAAGATAGACTATACTGTTGAAATATCTGAGATGTGTGGTTTATATAAACTGCAAAGGTAAAGTATAAATTAAAATGATTGTGACCGATGTGAAGGGGGAGGAGAATTGACACGTGCGTCACGTTTAGTCAGTATAACAGTTCCGCGTAGGATGCACCTGTATCCTCGCTTATGACTCCTCAGGAAGCCTCCTATCTCCTCGATCCTCGACTCCTCACGGTGCAATTAGAGAATTGAGATGTCCTTCAAGATGGCTGAGCTCGATCGGTTTCCGGGTCATAGGAGGGAGGACGGAGGAGCGAGGAGACGAGGAGGAATATTGAGAAGCACCCGAAGTAGAAGTGCATTTATCTTTAACCTCGAACCTTTGTCCTGTCTGGTTAGATATTAAACATCTCTCCAAACCTATATGAGCTATAAGGTCACAACAACACAACTAGCCACCAAACAATACAATCTCATTTATGTCATGATAAAGTTAATAAGTCAACATACAAAGGTCTTCTTGCTGCTCATGTAAGTTTCACAAAGCAGAGTTACTCATACTGGAGTTTGTGCTACAAGGTCTCTTTATGCATATGAACCGCCAGTCACCTACAGAGCCTTCATTTAAACAGCTTTGTTTGATGTTGATGCAGGCTAAACTATGCACTGTTCTCTATAGTTTTCCTTATCCTGTTTTTTCACCCATATCAATATCATTGATACAATATTACAACAGGCTTTAGAACAGCAGGTGCCTAGAATGAGGAGACAGTATTTTAATGAATGTATTAAAAATATATGCTTACTTTTCTCATTATCTGTGTTGAAAATCAGTATAGAAACAGATTATTTTAATAAAATGTGAAAATACAGATATTTTGTACTTCCATTAGACCAGTGATTCTCAACCAGACTACGCCCCAAGTTAATTCTTTTTAAAATTAGACATTGTTAAAAAAAAAATAAACAAATAAATAAAAAAGACATTTCTTATTTTAATTCACCCACTCTGGACTTGCAAACCTAGATATGCTCATTTTTAAAAGTGTGATTTCTAGACCTGGAAAAATTATATAAATAACAAATTCTTACAACTTGTTGATAGACATTTTTAATAATTATTTTTTTTCTAGTTTCCCACAGCCAAGCTCTAAAATATTTTAGGAGGTAGACATTTTACAATTGAGTTAAAATCCTTATCCTTATCCAGTAAATCATAAATAACTGTAGTAACTAATAACGTCATGTGCCCTTTCAATATTGTTGAGGACAATCAGGGGCCTTGGAGTCAAAAAGGCTCAGAACCACTGTATTAGACTGAATCTTAACTGCAAAGGCCTTGTGGAGGTGAGATATAAAGCTACATATATATATATATATATATATATATATATATATAGCTACTGCTTTATATCTATGGCTCAACCACTAATACTCCCAGATTGTTGTTGAAAATGATCCTGCCGTCCACCTCTCTACTGCAGTCAGGATGTCTCAGTAAGTCCAGCACTCCTTTCTTCAGGTCTTCAGGAGCATTCTTACTGAACTCTATCACCTCAGTAAGGAAATCCAGCAGCAGTTCTCCTACCGGGTCTCCCTCAGTGAAACACTCTGTGATGTCCATCTGGGACAGAAGCTCATAGTTACGGTAGGGGATGCCCTCAGAATCGAAGAAGGTCTTTATATCTCCTGTAGTGACACACTGGCTGATCTCAGTTTTACAGAGCTGTTGTTTAAAGGTTGTCCATAATTTGCCCCATCCACTCTCGCCTATGAAGAGCAGAAGCAAAACTAAGGTCATTATTTTCCTTCAACAGAATATGAAAAAAAAAAAAAATAGATATCAAAATTATTTATTCTGTCTTAATACAAAACATTCTATTGATGCTGAATACCATGAACAAAAATTAATAGCCTCAACTGAACAAAGTTCAGAAATGGAAGTTCAGAAATGACTTCAAATCTGAGGTAACCGAACCATCAGTTTTGTGTACTGTTTCACCCCTAGGGCACACTCTGGATGTGTGCCGAGTTCTCTTGCACTTGAATGGTTTAAAACCACATTAAAATCTGCACACAGGAATTGACAAGCATCTGATACCTCACTTTAAGTATCCCATTCCAGAATTAGAATCGATTTTACATTCCCAACCCTAACTGTACCTGACACCAGAATGATCAAGAGTTTCCCATCTTTTTCTAGAAGATTCCGAAAAAATGAAACGGTGGCCTCTGGATCTTTGACATAGTACAGCATCTGTTAAGCAGATTGATATTAATATTCTACAAACATAACAAAACATCTTTGATACACAGACCTTATCAATATAACTTTATTTAAAGTGGATAAAATTAATGAAAAAGTCAAAACCTGTATCATGTGAATGAAGTCCATCTTTTCCCCAGAGTTTTTCTCTTGCCAGTGTTTTTCAAACTCAGACGCTGTCATCTTATTCCACACAAAGTTAATGTGATCAAGACCTGGAGTGGTTGATACCCGAACTGAACAGAAAGAATTAAAGAAAGAAAAACAGCACAAATAGCCATTTACTGGTAGAGTTAATAAAAGAGTATAATATGATTTAACCTTAATGAGCAGCAATAACATGTTTGGTACCTTTATACTTGTGCAGCATGTCACTGCTTGGTTCCACCACTTCATTGTTGAATTTGACATGTGGATGTTTAAGGTGTAACTGAGTGAACATATCGAGATCAATCTCACCTGGAAATGAGATGAATCTGAATGACTGAGAACTCTGTTATTCACATTTGATATATGAATGATATAAACAGAATGTTAATAATTCAGTTATAATTAAATGTGTACCTGCTCCACTCCCTACTCCTATTACATTGAGAATAGGTCTTCCCCCTCCAATGCTGCAGAGAGAGCGAGAGAGAATATAATAAGGGCAAGATAATATTATTATATCATGTCATTGTTAAATCTGCTGGCACATTCTGTATTACAAAGCTAGGACAGGCTAAATGAATAAAATATGACATTTATCAAGAAGGGTGAAGCACCTTGCCAGTATGTCTGGTAGTGTATTATGAATGAAGTCCTGCATGCACTGGTGCTCCGATGAGCGCTCCAGAAAGAGCTCGAATGATTTGAGGTATCTCGGATAATCTTTCACAAGTGATCTGAACGGAGCTGCCATGGTTTTCATTGGCTGAAACACACAACTGATGTTTTAGAATGATAAAATGGGTTCTGAATCACCCAATGTGTACCTTGAATGCAATGTAAGTCACTTGGATAAAAGTGTCTGCCAAATTCATAAATATGAAGGTTTTTTTTTTTTATCCATACATTGAAGTCAATGGAAAGCACTTTAAAATATATTCATTAATGTTATACAGAATGTACAGGTTTAGAATGACATCAAAAGTTTTTTATATTTTATTTTAGGTGAGTAAATCACTCGCATATGCAACTTAATGAGAAGCGACTAAAATGGTCTTTAATTGTAATCAAGTTAGAGCCAAAAAATTAATTTCATTGCACTGTCTTCACTCGGACGCTCGCTTCAATCCGTTGCGGATATCGTTGTGGATATTTTAGTATTGTATTGCTAAATCTTCCGAGTCCCAACCACTATGTCGGTCTGAGACAGTGAGACCTAGACAAGACTGAGAGGTCTGAGACCAAAACAAGACCAAGACCAAAGACCGTCATGGTTGTGACAAGACCGAGACCAAGACCGATCTCGAGACATACATCACGAGTGTGTATCCTAGTAAATATAGTCGGTTATGTCTTAAGTGAACGTAAACAGTGGAGAAATAAAATTCATGACAGTATCAGTATATCGGATTCGTGCTTTGGTCTTAAAGTGACAGCAGCTTAATATGCCTGCTGCATAATGTTAATCAAACAGACTCTGCAAAAAAATAACTAAATGCTCTTGACTGAATACATTTAGTAACTTTAATAAGGATTCATCTATATTTCATTTATACAGTGAAGATTGATTATGCAGTGTTCATTTATATTTGATTAGGCTACTTAATTCAATTGCTGTACCTAATCTACCTAATCTGTATCTAACTGCTGTTAATATTATCTTGAATTTAACAGTATTTGAAACTTATTTTTATATTTATGTAGATTTTTTCACTTGGATTGTTCTTGCATTTTCTGAAAAAAAGTCTTGAGTAATATATATATATAGCCTATATATAGCCTATCAAACTGAGAGGGTTATGGTAGCCTATAGAACAATAGATTGAACTTTAGTAGTTGGGTTACAGAACAGAAGCAGGTGTAATTTCTCAGGACACATGATGTGTGATGGCCAAATGTTTACACAACTTTAACACAGTCTGAAATTATTAAACAAAATGGGACAAAACTAATAAGATATAATAGGGAATGTAAAGTAGTTCAGTCTCAATTGTTGTGCTTACCATGAATCACAATGAAATATGTAAAATCTCAAATCTATGGCACGAATAAAAAGTCACACAAAAATGTGTTGCGTTTATGAATGGAGACTATTAGTTAAGCGTCAGACAGTAATCTCAGACATATCTATATCATTGTCCCGTAAATCACATTCAGATTAGCATGATGAGATTTATTGCTCATCAACAGGTTCATTGACTCGCTCCCATCAATATTTCTAACTTTAGGTGACTGACACTGAATGTGCGCATCATAGCAATGTTTATAGCGTCGCAGTCGCTGTTTTCTTAGGTTAGTTTTGCTTGTTTTTACGTGGCTTGGTTGAATTCTAATGTAGAATGTGGTCTGTTATTTCTAGTTAACAGACTGCGGCGCTTCTAGTATAACACACCGTTGCCATGGACGCAGTTCAGAGACGGAACAGACTATTTTCTTTAGCAGAAGCAATACTCGTTTTTAAATCAATAAACTCGTTTTTAAGTCAATATTTTGTGTCAAATTATTGATTTATTTATTTGGTTTATTTATATGTAATAAGCAGGATAATATATAGCGAGGCGGTTGTGAGGCGAATACAACAACCGCCTCGCATGATCCCATTCAAATGTCGCTATCAACTGGCACATAAGCATTGCTATTAGCCTTCAACTTGTGAAAAATTGATCATTTTTTGGTAGATGGCGCGATCCGTTTTAACAAAACTTAAGTGCGAAAATTAATGGAAACACCTTAAAATGTCTCAAATCAATTCGATATACAAATTTGATCGCAAAACAGCATGTGACGTCATTACGCACAGGTTTTTATTTGCTTTAAAGCCGTTGGATGGAAACACACTTTCACCAGCTTTATCCGCATGAGTTTTTTAACCGAATTTCAGATAATTTGATTGACAAGTGGATGGAAACATGGCTAGTGGCCTAATAATAACACGGATAAAGCAGAAGTGTGCAGCAGCTTACCTTCACCTCTATCCGATATTTTTCACACTGCCAGTGGGACCAGAGTGGGAACAGTGGGACGTTGGCTGGGCCGTGGTGGCACATCTAAACCAGAATCCAGACACAGACTCAGCTACGCCCATTAGAAGAGGCCACGCCCACTCCCTTAAAGCCGCAGGGCTTAAAGACGCACGTCCTTTGATATGATTTATATTTTTATTATCTCAGTTCCATTTCCCCTTATCTACAGTAGCACCTCAATGCAGAACATGAGATCCACGGGGAGGAGTCGGATCACGATCCAAGGGGTGGAGATGAGCACCATCTCCTTATCTAGGGAGCAATTTAAATGAAAACTAATGTCTTTCTATAATAATTTTGTTTTAGTATTAGGCTGTTCACCACCGAGTATTCATTTTATAAATCTACACAAATAAATAAATCAATCAAGGTTATTTTTTAATTTAAAATTCTTACTTTTTTTGCATACATGTATAACATGTACCAAGTAGGCTAATCAACATTCCACCTGACAGGAATAACTGAAAGTATAACGTGCCCGGCTCATTGCTGCCCTCCAGCGCTCATCGGTGTAATTTCACTAAGGAAAATTGCAGCACACAACATGATTTCCCCTACTCTATGGTAAAGCCACAAAACACTAAATTATTCAACTAGGCCACATAAAGACAAGCAGACCATTAATTAATTGAGAACAAGTAAGGCTGTGAGACAAATTAATAAAACAATAAAGACAAATATTGGCTACATGCCTTCTTCTGGGAGTTAGTTAATAGTACTAATAAGCAATAGTAAATAGGCAATAAGCAATAGTTAATAGTGAGAATTATGACTAAATATGTTGCAAACTAAAATGTTAACCAAACATTTTTATTGGCTTGAATGCCACTAAGACATTCCTTAAAGCCAAAACATATTCTGTGTAAATAATAGAGGTTTTTATCAATCAATTTAAAGTTTAAATCAACACTGATGGAGGGTTATGCACTAATCTGGGCTGGGCCACATCATCACATCATCTAGATCCAAATACAAACGGAAAGAGAACAAGGCAAAAAATTCAGTGATCTATCTTTAATCTGCCTCTTACCATTTTCTTTATTAGGCTACAAGATACAGATAAAGCAATTTTCCCACTTCACTTCTCAGTCAGTTTGATCATGTCAAACTTTGTTAACCGATTTGGCTACTGGTGAATGGAAATTTATGATTAAAATGAGAGAACCCACAAAGATTCATGGGAAATCTTCAGCAGAATTATTAGGGCTTAATGGAAAAATTAAGCCTGACAGAATCACACCACCCAGACGTGTCCCCTAGGTGGTACTGACAAGTCTGCTTAAATTCATCTCATCCTTGAACAGAAATGACAGGCTTTACTAATACAAACTGATAAAACAAAAGATTTAACCGATTCAACATCCTGGAGTGGAGTGGATCTGATGGTGAAGACATTCAGTTCTGTGTAAAGATGGATATTCAGCACAATTACATTTGGCAAGCATTTTGACCACGCTTCAATATCTGACGATTTAGGCGCCCTTTAACGTCAGTTAGATGACGCCCTAGGATCGCGTGTAACCCTACCCCCACCCCAGACCTAAACCTGTCCTAAATCTAACTGACGCTTTTCCTTTATAGCGTCAGTTAGATGAGGCCGTAGGATCGCGTCATGTAACTGACGCTAAAGGGCGCCTAAAGCATCAAATATTGAAGCATGGTCAAAGGTGACGCCTTGGGGTGAGAATGCGTTGTTTATTCTCTTATGTTATCTGTAAAATAACATGACTGTTTCTATTTTTTTCTTCTGTTTTTCTAACACAGTCTCATCCCAAGTCTTCATAAACAGTCTTTTGACCATACGTCAACATTCGCCTTTTTAGGGTACCCTTAAACGTCGATTAGTTGACGATCCCAGGCCGTCATTCAACTGACGCTTTACCTTTAACGTTAGTTAGGTGACGGGGTAGGTTTAGGGGTAAGATTTTATGTATGCCGATGATCTGGCTATTGTCTCTCCTAGTAGTGCTGGATTTCAACAGTTGCTGAATATTTGTTCTGATTATGGGCTCAAATTAGATGTGCAGTATAATGCAAAGAAAAGTATGGTCATGATATGCGCAACAAAAGGGGATAAAGACCTCAATTTTCCAGTGTTTTATTTATCAGGCAAAGCCCTGAGTAATTGTAAAAAAAACAAAATATCTGGGGCACTTTCTCACAGATCAATTGTCTGATGATGATGACATGTAGCCTATAGGCAGTGTCGTATGCTTTATGCTCAAGCTAACATGTTAGCAAGAAAATTTCATATGTGTTCTGACTTTGTTAAGAGAAGGCTTTTTCAAGCCCACTGTACGCCACTCTACACAGCCCCACTGTGGGTTAAGTTTAAAAAGGCCACCGAACATAAGCTTCAGGTGGCCTATAATGATTGTATGCGGATTTTGCTGTGTAGTGGTGTAGTGCAAGTGACTAGTTCTGCAAGAGTCAACACTTTCCATGCTTTATTGAGAAATCTGATGTACAGTACACATTTATTGGTCGACTGGATAGCTCTCAGAATGGCATTATTAAGCTACTGACTAATCCTAGTATAAGTGTTGTGCGTTACCAGTCACCTCTGTGGAAGCACTGCTATAACTGTCTTTTTAAATTCTGTTTTCTTTTTAAACGTCATCTAACCGACGTTTAAGGGTACCCCAAAAAGGTGGATGTTGACGTATGGTCAAAAGACGTCCCAAGACGTCAGTTAAATGACGTCTTGGGATGAGACTGCACTGTTTTTTCATATTTCATCTAAATTTCCATCTTGCTCCATCTGTTTGTTTAAGATGGGTATTACAAAATAGCTCACCATCAGTAAAAGAGCATGACAATTGTTTTAGGACTGTCTCATTATATGTGCGCTTAGTTAATATATTAGGTATGATTTAAAAGACCAAAAGGTGTCTGATATGAACTTATTTCTGTCAAAGCAGCTGAAACCACCATCAATCTTTGATGCAAAATTAACATATGAGCGACGACTTTTCCCACAGAGTATCACAATTTATTAGCATTTTCGGTCAACTCTTCAAGTACACACAATTAAAACAAAGTACTATGTAAACTAAAGGTCAGTGTTTTACAGGCAACTGTATATACAGTAGTGCTGAGAGCAAATTGAACATAAATAGCAAATTGAAGAATAATAATAAGAAGAAGCCATGTAAACAAGTCAATTCTAAGGGGCAACAAATAAAAACCAAGTAAATCAAACAAACAAAACACACTGTTGACTTTGTCACTAAAGGAGCACGTTTCCATAAAAATGCAAGGCCACTTTTGGAATAATCCAGTGTATGACAAAATCAATCCAGCATGCATATGCACAATTGGGATTCAAAATAAATATATATTGCCATTTTTTTTTATTTCCAGAGTTTGTATAAATAAATAAACCTGTTATAAGCTATACACATTTTAGCTTCTCACATCAGTGGATTTAGAAATACGCCAAAAGCCTTTTGAGCAGCAGATCATCCGGATGGATCTCAAACATACAGGAACTGGAATGGTTCGGTTCTGTAGACTAACCAGCCAGCACTTACATATCACATGTACTGTACGGCAGCAGAAACACTCAAAAACGAACAAAAGAAAAGAAAAAAAAGTTGCTGCCTTATTTTTTTTAAAAGTACAATCAACTTGGATGTTTAAGTTATTTCAACTTAAATTAAATTAAACTGACTATAAAACGAGTTGAATCTTGTATAACTGAAAATGGCTTAACTCATTTTGATGGGTTAAAGCAATGTAAACACATGTGCTGTCATAGCTTAATGAATTGTTTTTACACTGTATGTAACACACACAGAATACATTCTTTCAGTGGAACAAGACCACGTTAAGCAGAGGTTCCACAAGTTATGTTATTGAGATTTAAGTTTTCCACGTGGCAGTACAAGGAACGAAGCGAACCTTGACACTGCAGGTCTTGAAACGGATAGTCAAGACAATTATGTCAGCAAGAAGTCAGTCAATAAAGCAAAAAGAACTAGCAGGGATATTTTTAAAATACAGAACCAGCACCTGTACTTTATTAAAAAATGATGAACATTCATAGCATTGAAGCACCTCTCCCGGTGTAATGATCATGCAGACTACATAAACGCATTGGTCCACTGTATCTGTACTAAATGAGTTCCCCTAAACACAGGATATTGCAGGAAGCCAGTTTCAAAAGCCTTTCTGCACGCCACAGGAACAGTTCATTACCCGCTGGTGTTGGAGCAGACCTCATCAATTTTACAACTGCTAGACGGAGGTTAAAGGACAAACTGGAGCATGCTGAAGAAGCACACGGGCAGATCATCACCCTAACCTCTCGGGGTGTCGAAATGAGCTGTTTTAGTTTACTGTGCGGATCATACACACGTTCAGAGACGCTCTACACGAACACAACGGTTTACAGCAAAGTCCTTGCATCACAATGAAAAAACACTAGAAAATCTGTTTGAACATAAATCAAGAGGAAACTAAAGAATGACTAAGCACTAATATAGTGCATAACACATCAGTCTTTTCTCGTTCTCTGATAAAAAGTCACATCGCCATAAAGGGATAGTTCAAGCAAAAATGAAAATTCTGTCATTATTTATAAACCCTCAAGTTGTTCCAGACCTGAATGACTTTATTTCATCTGTGGAACACAAAAGAAGAAATTTGAATAATGTAGGCCTACCAGTTGTTATTGCTAATGGAATTTCAAGCTTCAAAAAGGACGAACGTGATGTAAAAGCATAATGAAAGCATTATTATTAGGGAATAATACAAGTACACTATGTTCCAAGACTTCTCAGTCATAATATAACATTGTGCTCAATTTAAGTCATTATTCACTGCGAGGCTTGACATTCACAATGACTTTCATGAACAAATAGTTATTTTAAGTAATCTCTTTTCAATGAATTGATTGATTCAGTTGAGTTTTTTTTTTTCAGAATCCTGAAAATGAATCGTTAATGAACCAGTCATACAGGTTTGGTACAACATGAGCTCGAGTAAATGATGACAATTTGCATTTTTGGGTGAACTAGGCTTTTAATGCGACTAATACAATAGATTCGGCACAACTTGAATTTGTGTTATTTTTTTCTTCTTTTTTTTTTATGATGTAAGAAAAATCACGGCAAGAAAATGTCAAAGTCCTCCGATCCGTGGAATGTCAGCTGTGCCTCGTCCTCTCTTTAAATGTCACAATTTCCACAATGACGACTGATCCGAAACCTTTGTCCTTGCAGTCTCACATACAATGTTTTGTGTATTCTGCAAATTTTATGTATGCTACTCCTCGTCTCTCTCTCTTCCTTGTTTTTTTTTTCTTTTTTGGGAAATCCAAAGGGTGCCTTGGAAAGATAAACATTTGAAAATGTTGTACGCATCTTGTGCTTTGAATGTACAGTCACCGAGAGCTTGATCACATGTCCACATCCCCATCATAGGCCAGAGTCAAGGGCTTCGATGGCGGAAATGCACTTTTACTCTGTTTGGATGGTTTGCTGCTGTTAGAAAGAGGAGGAGACAAAGAAAGATCAATGAATTTCCATGTATATACAGTACTGCCCTCCATTGTATTTCTACACAGTGCCACTAGATGGAAGCAACAGCATAGACTAATAAAGTTAACAAATAGGTGACATGTGTAATGTCTGTCATAAAGAATCACAGACTGTTTTCAAACAGGTTCTGTCTTTCCATTAAGTGATGAGTTTGTTAAATTGATAGAATACATACCAAAACAGAAAGGCCAGAGCAATTATGAATAATATGAGAATGAATCCTCCAGCTGTTAACCCATAGACCCACAGCTTTATCCTTCCATCTGTGTGATCAGAAAACAGGATTGTGATCACCACTGAAATATATAGGAACATCATTTTTATTGCTTCCGAACATGGGTCTGTTGCAGCAGTAACAGATGGCACATTCATACTGGTGACAATGTACCTCAAGAAACCGTCTCACCATCTTGCATTCGCAGTTCAGAGAAAAGGATGGGGAGAATGCTTGTATAACTGATATGACAAGGTCTCAAAACCCCTCTTTCAGATGAAAAACAAAAGACATCAGTCTGATGAGCTGTACTGAGAGCTTCTCCTACAGCAACAGACCTGAATCCTTTGAGACTCACACAATGGATGATGCAAAAACTATACTCTTAGGAACAGATCATCTTGCTAAGTTTTGTAAAACTTTATAATAACTTTAAGCAAATAAACCCACTGGTGAATAGAGAGATGGAGTAAGGTCCTTTGGTTACAAATCGTATAAAACTGAGGGTTTCATTTTAAGTCTGGCCTATAAAATGAATAAAGGACCATGTTGGGAATGACTCTTACATTACAAAGCCATTACTGATGTTCACAGTGCACTCCTGGGCAGGGCCTAGCACAAAATGGCTAAACACTAAGCTTTTAACTGTTTTAAACCACAAATTATTGGTCAGCATATTATAAAAATGTACGCAAATGCTCTACTTAGGAAGCATTTGCTGTCAGTACAGGAAAATACTGCAGAATGGCATATTTCCCACAAATGAAAAGTTGTTAGAGGAACGATCAGATGTCAATGTCAAATGTTTGGGCCAGGAGAGAGTCTAGATTTGAACTCTATAGTGGATACTTGGTCTCACATTAAACTCAAATGAACTGGGATTCATTGTCCAGCTACTCATGAACTGTTTGAAGCCATTAGCATTGAGTGGAACAACACTGACTCTTCTTCAGTGTTGACTCTACTTCCTGTAAAAAGTTGTCTGCAAGTTGGGAAAGGCTATTCTGTGCTAAGTTTAACTTTATCTACAGTATTTGTGCAATTCTTGCTAATTTTCTGACCAGTGATTTGTGATTAAAACAGTTAAAGGAATACCAATTCCATGAAAGGGTGTACATGTCTGCAACAATGCAGTGGTACGTGTCAAAGTAACATCCACATGGATGGCAGGACCTGGTTTCCCAGAAGAACATTGCCTTAAGCATCACACTGCCTCTGCCGGCTAGCCTTCTTCCCATAATGCATCCGGGTGCCATGTGCGTTACTGATCAGAACCAGAATGTTACTGATAAGACTAGGCCACATTCTTCCATTGCTCTGTGGTCCAGTTCTGATGCTCACTGTTGGCACTTTCGGTGGTGGACAGGGGTCAGCATGGACACCCTGACTGGTCTGAGGCTATGCAGCTCCATACACAACAAACTGTGATGCACTGTGTGTTCGGACACCTTTCTATCAGAAACAGCATTAACTTTTTGAGCAATTTGAGCTACAGTAGCTTGTCTGTTGGATCGGACCACATAGGCCAGCCTTTGCTCCCCAAGTGCATCAATGAGCCTTGGCCGCCCATGACCCTGTCGCCGGTTCACCACTGTTCATTAGTTGGACCACTTTTGATAGACTGCAGACTGGGAACACCCCACAAGATCTGCAGTTTTGGAGATGCTCTGACCCAGTCGTCAAGCTATCACATTTTGGCCCTTTTCAGAATCGCTCAAATCCATACGCTTGCCAGTTTGTCCTTATAATGTTATGCCTGATCGGTGTACTTCTATTTCCATCTTTCTTTCTATTCATCAAAGAATCCTGAAAAAAATTATCATGGTTTTGACAAAAATAGTTTAAGAACAGTTTTTATTACATTTTAAGATCTATTAAAATAGAACGCATTTATTTTAAATCGTAATAATGTTTCACATCATTACAGTTTTTACTGTAATTTTGATCAAATAAATGCTGCCTTGGTGAGTCGAGACTTCTTACAAAACCATTAAAACCTATTTTTGCACCAAATTAGTGGTAGATCAAACAATATTTGTCAGGTCCCTCATGGTACTGCTGAATTTGAATGCCCCTGGTTTAAGAAGTTATTAACAAACATTACAGCAAAGGTCTAAATAAGTAGTTGATGTAAACTCAACAATATAACGCAAAATATATTTAAGAAAATATTTTGTCAGAGCCGATATCTTCATGGGCAGTGCTCCGACATGCAGTGTGGTTGCTAGTTCGAGTCCTGGTTTATTGATTTAGTCATCTAATACATTTCATATTTAATAACATAAGTTTGTTTTGCAGATAACAGTTCTGGTAATTCTCAGAATTTCAGTCCTCCATTTGACTGGAACACACACCTATTGCTAACCTGGCAGCACACAGTTGTTGTACCACAGACCGCTAAATTCACTTCTAATCAGAAATGGCCTCTAGCCAGCAATAAAGCAACTCTGTCTGTCAAGTTATGGGCAATACAAATCACGCTGTTATGAGACTCTGTCCAATGCAGCTTTTCTCATAGCACCAATAGGGCATAAACACTGAGGCATTAAACAGAGTTCTACATCAGCCTGTATCTGGAGTCTCATAAAAGGCGTCCAGATATTCTGCTATAACTCAAAGCCACACTCCACTGGCCCACATCAGCCTGTTGTTCATCTGCATTTCAAATACCTGGGCCGAGCGGCTGCAGGGACCATTCGCCGAAGAAGTCCTGCATCTGAGTGGTGCCTGGTTTTAATCTTCCCGAGCTGGTCTTCACATCTGCCTTCTTGTTGTCGGCACCGGGGGTCTTGGTGCAGTAATCCAGGAATCCATGTGTGGTCATCACTTCAGTGTAGCCCTTCTCGCAGCCACACACACCGCTCTGAAACAGACATGTATCGCTGTGGGACACTGTACACACTGCATAAAGACAGCGCTGTGTTTGAAGGAATATCCCAGGTTCAATGCAACCTGAGATCAAACGACAGTGGCATAATGTTGATAGGCACAAAAAAAATCACATTTCAATTCCCTCATCCCCTCCTTTACATACAAAAGCAAATCTGGTTACAATGAGGCACTTACAGCAGTGATTGGGGCCAATCTGTAAACATTAAAGTACTCATTAAAGTGCTGCAATAGTACAAACACAGGACTTAAGAACATCTGTGTTGACTAAACAACATAACAAATCACTTACCAATGTTTTCTGTGTATTAAATCCGATTTAGTCTAAAACGACTGCAAAAACTCTACAGGTAAAATAATACACAAAAGTTTACAAGAAAAATAAAAGCATTTTCACTTCCATTGTAAGTGCCTCACCGTAACCTACTCAAGAGATGAATTGAAATATATATATTATGCCACAAATGCTTTCGATTGAACTTCTATTGAACATGGAGTCTTATTTTAAGGCAAAATCTATTGTATCAGTACTCATGCAGAAAGAAAAAAAAATGTGGCTACACGGAATGCATTGCATGTAGTTGCATTCAGTGCACTGCAAGTGGCAGTAAATGTACCGTTTTGTGAGTTTGATATTTTTGTCCTCTATTTGAAGCAATTACACGTGCATTAAAAGTCTTCCTTCATGAGTAAACTAATGACAATAACTTCAGGTCATCGGATGGATTTTTTTTTTTCTTGTTATTTACACGTTGGTTTAACATGCAAATGGATATAGTGTTCAGACAAATATCACTACCTATCAGATTATGCTACCAAAACTATATTGTTTTAAGGGTAGGTTTAGGGTTCGGGTAGGTATGGACGATAATAATGCCTCAATCATGCTGGTGGCAAAATCAAAGCACAAATGGCTTCAAATACAGGATTATATCTTTGCACACAGTGTTTACCTGCTTGCAGTGGGAGAAGGGTTTGGTGCAGGGAGGGTGACAGTGCCGCACAGTGGTTGGCCGGATCTGTGGAAAGCAGCCCCCTTCCAGCAGGAAACAACAGAGGTAATTATTGCCATTTCCCTATTGATGGCCAGATAAAAGTACTGTCACACCTGATTAATGGCTTAAAGGACCCATCACAGCTTCTGATCAATCAGTGAAGATTGTAATTTTGGAATAGAAAATTACATGTCAAAACATCAGAGACTAATACCATGGGTTCGGGCTTTTCTCAAGGAGAAGAGATTACCTCTCACAGCTTATATTTGCCCGAGACGATTCCGTACACAGATAAGATCACTTTTCCCTGTTATTTACAGCACTTCACGCAGCCCGAAAGCCTTCGTTCTTGCTCTAAACACTCAAGCGAAAGCTTTCCATCTGGAGCGTGTTCAATTCACCACAATCAAACGATGTTTTATAACATTTCCACTGTTCACTTTCAGACGAGCGTTAGTTTATTGATAACGTCTGTTGAAATGGAGGGAGAGAATAGGGAAAATGTTAGCATTTTAGTATTTCTTTCTTCATATGAATGGGGGAGAGCGTCTTCACCTCCTGTATCACTGTGTGGTGGGGATGTTGCTGACAGGAGCGCACTAGTTTGCCAACTGTAAGCTATATTTACATCAGCAGATGCAGGAGGTGTGCTACTTTTATTATGAGGGACCTTGCTCACCCAGAAAAGGGTCTGTTTGCCACTTTCCCTTCAGGAAGGAGGTTGCACAGCATTAGGCCCAGAACCACCAGGCAAAGAAATAGAAGCGGTGAGACTGATGAACTTTTCATTAATCTGTACTCCATTGTGTGATGACTAAACAAGAAATGTTATTCTCACATGGTTACAGTGATTAATTGATTTTACTCTTAATTTTAGCTGCTGCTGTATAATATAGTGTACACAAATTACCCTTTGCAGATCTATACAGGTGGAGCTGGGGAAGGTGGAGGTTTTCTGAAAATGTGCTGAACAGCTAAGGCAAATGCTACCCAAGTATTTGAAGGTTAAGCAGCGAGCTCCTTGGCTACAGATATGGCAGGAACCAATCAGCTGCACCCTATATATAGAGTAACCATGTGATTATGAAAAGGTGAGTTCAAGGCCCTATTAGCCTGCACCATCTAGAGTTTCATGCCATAACTTTGTATTTATTTAGAATGGTTTTATATTGCTGATTATTTTATACTATTATTATTCTTACTAGTACTAATTTTGGTATCTATTGTCATTGCAGGGACGCGAGTATGAAATTTTGTTTCTTTCATGTACCACATTCTACTTCTACTATTTTACAACCACCACACATTTTCAGCCTATGGTTCTGTGTTTAGGGTTAAAAGGATAAATCAACCCCAAAAGAGAAAAATTTTGTCATTATTTACCAATGCATTCTCATCCTAGGGCGTCATCTAACTGACACTTTTGACCATGCGTCTAAATCTGATGCACATGGCAATCCTTTAGCATCTGTTAGATGACACGGGTAGGCTTAGGTCTAGGGCAGGGTTAGGGTTTGACCACAAGGAGGCGCGTCTCATATTGACGCTAAAAGGTGCCGTGTGCATCGGATGTTGACGCATGGTCAAAAGCGTCAGTTAGATGATGCCTTGGGATGAGAACGGGCTGTATTTTCTCACTGTAACACATGAAGAGAATGTGTCTTATCTTTTCCATTCAACAAGACTTCATAGTGGCTGTAAATCTCCAAAGAGGACTGTAAGAGCACAGTAAAAGTGGTCTGTTATTGTACGACTTGTGCACTTAATTCCAAGTCTTCGAAGCCATGTGATAACTTTGTTCTCTTATGCTCACTAAGGGTGCATTTATTTGATCAAAAATACAGCAAAAAGAGTAATATTGTGAAATATATTACAAAGTAAAATAACTGATTTCTATTTTGATCCCTGTGATGGCAAAGCTGAATTTTCAGCATAATTACTCCAGTCTTCAGTGTCACATGATCCTTTAGAAATCATTATAACGTGATGATTTGGTGCTCAAGAAACATTTATTATCATCAATGTTAATTAACAAACACCATTTCACACCTGCAGGTGATGTGTGTAGAAAAAGAAGACCAAATAGGTAGGTTGACAAATCTAAAAAATAAGGGACTCCTGAACACTATCAGTATTTGCAAGTAATATATATATATATATATATATATATTATATATATATAAATGTATTAGCAACATTTCGTTCTCACAACCAGGCATATACAAATCTTCAAACTCATCCCATTTGAAATAAACACATGACCAATCAACAAAGCTCCATCTGTAGCCACACAAGCTCATTGAGAATACATATTTAACAAAACATCATAATAAACATCTTACTTGTAAGTACTGATAGTGTGCGGAAGTTCCTAATCATCAATGTTGGAAGCAGTTGTGCTGATTAATATTTTTGTGTTTGTATTTTTGTTTTTCAGGATTCTTTGATTTAGTTCAATTTAGCATTTATTTAAAATATAAATCTTTGATAACATTTACTGTAACCTTTACTGTAACTTTTGACCAATTTAAGGCATCTTTGATGAATCCAAGTATAAACGTTTATATATATATATATATATATATATATATATATATAAAAGAAAACTAATAAAAGTAGCTAATCTACGATCTGTGTCAATTCAAACTTGGGTCTGTTAATCACATTAAACACTCACAAGCCTTCAGAAGACACGGAATGCAGTGCACAAGTCTCTTTATGGTTATTTTCTCCTCCTTTTTGGAGTTTGACAGTCTCTGGTCACTATGAACATTACAAGTATGAAGATCAAGATTCAAAAAGGCTCCTTTTTGTTCCACTGTAAAAAAATAACAGCACATAGGTTTGGCACGACATGAGGCCAGGTAAATGATGACAGGATTTTCATTGCCTACAGATTTTCTGTCATGTGGAGTCAACAATTCTTTTGATTATCTTTCTGTAAGTGAAGTCAGTGCAGAATATTTGTCATTCTCTCAGTCTCAATGTAAGAGGTGGGATACCTGTCACATTGACCCCATCAGAACGCTGGCACCAGACTGATCTTTCATTGTCATTCCAGGCGCTGGTCCTCCACTCGTAACTATGACATTTCCCTCCTGCAGCCCCACAGAGTGAGAGAGATACTCAATAGGCTTGCACTGGGCAGTCAGGTGTGATAATAGCCGAATGCAGACATTTCATACTGATGCACACTCAAACACACACACACTGAGCAAGCATGACTGCACTAAAAGTGTTTTTAAAAATATTTAATAGTGGCAGTCCATCAGATTCAAAAAATTCATAACTACTGATCAGAAAGATTTATAAAATGACGTTAATTATCATTTACACACTATCATTATATATATCATTATATTATATATCATATACATGGATATCATTACATCATTATATATATATATATATATATATATATATATATATATATTTCACTGTTTGTACCTTTACATGGACGCGTCTCAAAGACCTGTTGAGGGCAGCTTTCCTGATTCTCCAGCACTTGTATGACCACGGCCTGTGAACGTGCCTGTCGGCCCACTGTCTCGAAACTACGTCCTTCCAGACATGTCAGCTGACAGGAACTCCACAGAGACCACTCTGTAAGGTGACAGTCTCCTGTAGAAAACAAATCCCATATCACAACTCTGGTTCTATTACTTAAATGAATCCCATGATAACTTGACACTCATTAATGAACTTCACTGGTCAAGTTAGCAAGTGCAGAGAAGGAATTCTCCATACCATTTTGACAAAGTATTATTACAAGTATGAAAAGTTTGAGTAGAACTGTCTTGGGATACAGTATAGTACCCAAATATAAAATTGATACTGCAAGCCAGTGCTATAAACTAAAACTGAAATAATACAACATATTTTTTGTTAATTGATATGTATCTGAAAAAAGTATATAAAATATAATAAAAATAAAACTTAACAGAAATATATGTATAAAAAAGCACAACAAAATTATTAAAACGTAAACCAAAATGATAAATAACGTAATAGTATATACATAATATATAAGCATTACCAGCTAAACTATTACACTTAAAACTTTATGGTTTATGTATTTTAAATAAATAAACAAATACAGATTTTAACTTAAAAATGCAGATATTACACAGACTCAAACTTAAAAAGTTGATTTGTAGTTGTAGTTGTTTGCCTTGTAGTTGTATGCTACTTGTCTGTATAGAGTAGCTCTGTAGTGCAAGTGTTGATGATAATAGTAATAATAATAAATATATTGATTAATTAGTTTATAATTTTTTTTGTGTGTGTGTGTGTGTGTGTGTGTGTGTGTGGGGGGGGGTTCTATGTCATGGAACCTAATTTGTGATACAATTTTTTAGATACATTTAGCACTTCCTTAACCGAAGATCAGACATCACTGAGCCTCCTAATCCCTCAGAAAAGAGGGTGATTCACAGCGACGGCCGCTGCACACGCTAACACTAGCTCTCCAGCCATGACTTCCTTTTGATTCTGCAGCCAGGATGGCTATTAGAGACAATCTGTGCACACAGGCATCTCATTATCCATCATCTTCATGAAGCCAGTCTATTTCCATCCCTCACTAGGGCTGCCGAAACATATAATAAAGCAATGCACACCGCACACCATATGCCACACTCTCTAACTCGCTCATTTCTATGTCTCTACCTTTTTTTATACTGGCCTAACATCTTTGGTTTACTCTCCTCCCAACATATGCTCTTTCCTGTGAGCAAGAAGCACATTTACGAAAATAAATATGCAGTTTGAAGAGAGACACAGGAGTAGGGCTAACACAGGTCAATAACAGCCTGAAGGTAAGTTGAAATGAAATGAAAGTTTGTCAGTTTGACAACTAGTAATCTCACTGAACATGACAGATATTATTTCCTGGGACAGTTCCACTGGGATAGCAAGTAAAATGTGAGTAGCATTACAAAATCTTTCTTGATCAACATCTTCCAGTGGTTAAGAATAGTGTTGGGGCAATGTGTTACAAGTAACGTGAGTTGAGTAATCCGATTACTTTTTTTCAAGTATTGAGTAGAGTGACACATTACTTTTATATTTAAAAAAATATATATCACTTCAGTTACTTTTTCATATAAATAATGCAAGTTACTTTGTTTTCCAATTTACTGACTGCCATCTCTCCTCTTTCAATGTTGAGAGTAAAACCAGGGACACACCAAGCTGACAATCGGCAGTCGGGCAGTTTTTATGACCGTCGGCTGACTTATTTTTTCCGGTGTGTTCCATAACTCTGACTCTAGTCGAATGACGTGTGTGAACAACTCTAGTTGAATAATAGAGCATTAATTTTGTTCGTTTGTGTTAAATAAAAGGCAAACTGTGCTGAAATGTGTTGCTTTTGAAATAATGCTTTGCTTGCTGTTGCTGCAGTCAGTTTCTTGACAAGCAGTTTCTCTAAATAAAGCTGGCTAGCATTGTTATAGTCTCTCCCGATAGAACCTCTTTCATTTCTCTTCCTTTTCCATTTCTTCCAAAGAAACTGTGGCATATCTAAATGTAATGTAAATGTTTACTAAAATGTAAACAAATACTAAGCTGTGCTGTCTCTCTTTCGCTATTTCTGGAATGTTTTTAGTCACGATAGCGTCTTCTACCATCATGGCCGACCTACTCAGACCTCGACCAAATCGGCATGTGACTCCTCACTCTCAATACATTTGCTCACACTAAACATGTCAAAAACAAGAGCACATGGCTTGTGAACTCAATCACAATCCATGAGCTCAAACAAAACCTGACACAACCAGGCAGCCAATGAGAACTCTCACCGACTACGATTCCACACAGAACATGTGAACAGAAAAGCACACGGTCGATGAAAAACTGGAGCACCAAACCGAAAACAAACTAGACCAAAGTGCCAGGATCCGAACACCACATTTCCGTACACAAAACGACTCGAAAACCTCAGACTTCAAAGATATATTTTTGAGGCAAAATGGACCCCAATTTCAAGAATATTACACAAAAATGATTAATGAACCACAAATGAGAGGGTAGAACTGTACATATAATTAAATAATACCTATAAATATGTAGTGTTGTCATGTTTTTGTGTTTGATTTGCCTGAGCAAACTTGAATCAGCACACACACACAGAGACAGGGCTTTGTCGCCAAACAAGAATAAACCAGACCAAAGTGTCAGAAACATGAAAATTACTTTCCATAAAAAGTAACACAACATTGTAATGCATTAGTTTAAAAAAGTAACTTTTTTTCAACACTGGATATGAAACAATAAATCATGATAAAGCATGATAAAGAGTGAACGTAAAAAAAAAAAAAAAAAAAGAAAAAAAGGTGAAAATATAAACAAATCAAAAAGAACAAGAATTGTTGCTCCGAATAGTGTGAATAGTGTTGTACCTGGACAGGGGACGAAACACGGCTGCTGCAGTTCCTGCTCACTTTCCTTTCTCACGCGGTCTCCACACTTCTCGTCCTCCACCGCTTTAGAAGGGTATGGGCTGTCCGGCCAGTCTGACCAGTGCACCATACACGTCAGGTTCCTCTCCCTCGTGCCCTCTCCACATTCAGCTCCCTGCACAAAAGCACACGGCTGACTCATTAATTTGGACGAGCGGTGAGCAGTGAGGCAGAGGAGCTTATTACAGTGACACCTCTCTGCGAATGACTGACATTGGGAGTGAAACATCATTTTGGCATTTCTGATGAACTGCGACGTAATCACACAATGTTTCAACGTCCACAGCAAAAACAACTTTTTTTTTTGGTAGTAAAAATACTTAAAGACCCTAAAAAAAGCTAACTTATACTGGTTTTGAAAGGGTCATGAAACCCTAAAACACATTTATTTGAGATTTTAAAAAGGTATGTACAGGTTGCACAACAGTGAAAACAACGAACAGCTATTTCATTCTGATTTAAAAAGCAAAGTCGAACCAACGACACAAAAAGTGAGGTATATGTGTTAATTCGGAGTGAGAGTATGCATCTCAGTCATCAGTTTCTGAGATTTTCTCCTCATTATGCATGAGAACAAACACTTTTAATTCAATCACTGTTCTGTATTATGCAGATATCGCTCTACGTTTCAGGTAGAGCTGTTCGTTCACCTATGCCTGTTCAAGTCTGGACATGTGGTGTAAGTGTGTTTCTCAGTACAGTACCACAAAAGTGTTGTTTGCATTTTCCCAACAACATGCAGATGCCCAACAACAGTACGCAGATGCAGTGAGAGCAGGAGATTGACAACCAACACATGGAACATAATATGACTGTAATAATATTTAATGCACGGTACGCCGAAAGGAGTTTGGCACCACTAGCAATAACAATGCAGACCACACTTAATATTTGGACAGGAGCAAGCGTTTTTTCAAATTTTTATGGACATATTTCATATACTCTCCTGCTCCAAACATGGACCAGTACAGTGCATGCGGACATAAATCTTTCTTTCTTCTTTAAATGAAATATTTAATACGTCTGATGTACGTCTGATCATGAACGGTGAAAATTCAAAGAGGAATTTTAAAAAAAGTGCATTTATTCTTTCTGTTAAACTGGTATTTCATTTGTTCAGAGCTATAATTACAATGTTATAATGTCGATTTATAATTATCGACGAATAATCGATTTAAGCATTTTCGATTTGTTCATGATAGTTGTTCGTAGTTTTTAATGAAGATTTTTGGGAGTTTGTTGTCAAAGGGTTATATTTTTAAAAATACATCAAGGTGCCTTCAACTGTTATTTGTGTCATGACACTTTAAGAGACATTGTTTTTAGAGAATATCTTTTTTTTAATTAATTTTAAATATAATAATATTTTTATTGATTTTATTGAAGCTGCTTAGCTAGTTTTAAGTATATGCCAAACAAAAGTGTATGAGATTTATATTTAAAAACAGATTAAAAAACAATTCGGGCGAACACAATTTTGCTTAAGTTAATAGCAAAAATAAATAAAAAATACTGAGAAAAAAAAATGTTTTAATTTAAAACACTTTTCCTTCACTTTTACATTAAGCTTTTTTTAGTGTTCAACCTCAAGATCAAATTTCTTCCTGTTATTGCATGTGCTTCAAACATTTTGTTTTTAATTTAAATACAATGTGCAATCGCAAATGTTAACTATGCTAATCACATTTGTTCAGATATGTGGCTTAGCAGTGTTGTAGTCGAGACCACCTCACTCGAGTCCGAGTCGAGACCGAGACCAGAGAGAGTCGAGTCCGAGTCAAGACCGAGTCCATAGAGAGTCGAGTCCAAGTCGAGTCCGAGACCAGAGATGGTCGAGTCCGAGTCGAGACCGAGACCAGTGAGGGTTGATTACCTAATTTACTTTTATTTACTTCGAGAAATCCTTTTTTTTTTTACTGAATTTACTTAGAGATTAAAAAATATGATCAGTTTAGGGTAAAAAGGCCACATAGTAGGTGGTGTTAAAAGTAATTTTATTACAATTTGTCATGCGCAGTTGCGCACTAGAAAATCACCAATCACTGGGCGTGTCAATCAATTTAAAAAATATTTTATTAACATACATTAATAATCATGAAAAATATTTTGAATTGAACTCGAGTGGACTCGGGAATAAGTCCGAGTCCTAAAAAAATAAAAATGTTCGAGTACGAGTCAATTCCGAGTCCAAATGCACACGAGTCCATGACCAAGACCATGAAAATATGGTCTCGAGACCGAGTCCGAGACGAGTCCAAGTCTCGAGTACTACAACACTGTGGCTTAGCTTGTCTCTAGAAATGTAAGTAATAATGCAAACTACAAATAAAAATCAAAGACGAGTTATCACACATCTCACACATATCACAGATAGAAATTTATGAATAATCTGAAAGTGTCCATCACACCAAGCACCAAAGAAAGCACATAAATGCAAGTTAAAAGTGTGCAACGTTTCTTTTGTTCATATTGTGAGGAGGACAGCTTTTGATCTGGGCAAGCACGACTCTAGGGATGTGCGCAAAACCCCGAGACATACAATTAAAATCCTTCTCAGACACAAAAGAGAGAGGAGAGAAAAGCAGAAGAGAGGCGATGAAAATCTGAACTCTGCCACTGTTCTCCTCTAATGATAAGACTGTGGATCCCAGCATGATTTTAATCAGCAGTTACCTCACGTCTCAATGACATAAAGTTCTTCTCTCACACACAAACTCGCCATGTGCGCATGCAATTTCTACAAATTTCAATTAAAGAACTCCAGTGTTGTGCCAGTACCAGATAGACATGCAGAGCGGATGGTCTCAACACCACTTGATCGTATGAAACATGGATTGAATACCCTCAGGTAAGATGATATGCAATAGCCAGTAAATGCAGAATACATGCTCCATTTATTTTTGCCCAGGATCTACCTCCACTCTGCAGGGAGACCAATCGCTTACAAGCCAGGTGTAGCAGGGGCTGATGGGACAGGGTTTGGTCTGGGAGAGCTGGGAGGCACAGGGGCGCCCCTCCTCATGAGCCTGCTGTAACACGCTGCGAAAGCGAGTCATAACACCTGCAACAGAGACGCAAATGAAGAGACATCTGTGAATGCACTGTATAAAAATATGGCAAACAGCAGAAGCGTTGCTAAAAATACATCAAGCCTGCATTGGTGCACACTTTAGCAGCTTGGGACAAAGCTGTGGATTTTAATGCATTATTCACACGTTGTATAGCTGAAATATTTATCAACTGTACAATGCAAGAATAGAAAGAAACTGTCATTTTTTATGACAGTTACCATCTGTCATAAAATACCATCTTACACCAGCATGAATTTCATGTTGGGCCAGGCCAATTTAACAATATTTGAAACTATAATTTAATATCAGTAGTTGTAAAATTGTTTCCACCACAATGAACAGTTTTGTCTAAAAAAGTTTTTTTATTATTATTATTATTATTATTATTAATAATTTTTTGTCAGTTATAATTTTGTCAAATTATGTAAACATTGTTAAAATATTATTTGGAATATTTATTTTGGATACATAAAATGATAGCAATAAGCCAAAAGAGTTCACTATTTTATTCTAAAAATGTTGAACAAATAATATCAATATTGCCAATTTGTTTTAATTGAACAGCAGTATATTTAATGATGCCTGGCAAACTAACAAATGTTTTTAATATCATTAGGATATAAAAAATTTAACATATTATTTTATGATCTAAAATCAATTTGGATGCAACAGATTTCAGTGTTGTAGTACTCGAGACTCGGACTCGTCTCGGACTCGGTCTCGAGACCATATTTTAATGGTCTTGGTCTTGTCATGGACTCGTGTCCATTTGGACTCGGAATTGACTCGTACTCGAACATTTTTTTTTTTTAGGACTCGGAATTTTTCCCGAGTCCACTCGAGTTCAATTAAAAATATTTTTCATGATTATTAATGTATGTTAATAAAATATTTCTTTAAATTGATTGACACGCCCAGTGATTGGTGATTTTCTAGTGCGCAACTGCGCATGACAAATTGTAATAAAATTACTTTTAACACCACCTACTATGTGGCCTTTTTACCCTAAACTGATCATATTTTTTATACTCTAAGTAAATTCAGTAAAAAAAAAAAAAAAAGGATTTCACTAAGTAAATAAAAGTAAATTTTATTTACAGATTTCCTTCCAATGAATATATTAAAATCAGGTGATACTGTAATGGCACTTTTCCACAACACAGTACCAGCTCGACACGTCTTGACTCGGCATGCCTTTGTTTGGTTTTCCACTGTGTAAAAGTTGTACCTGTACCTGCTTTTGGGTACTTTCTTTTTGTATCACCTCCGATGAGGTTCTGAGTGAGCTGAGGCGATACTAAAATGTGACGTGAAAACAATGATTCGTCACTATTCACTACGTTATCACTGCACATGCCAGATGGAGTATCCTGAATAACCCCGCCATTTTTAAATAGTTTGGCCAGAGATAGTTACTAAATTTACAACTATTATTATGGCGACTCGGAAGAATAGGCCGTGGTTAAAGTTTTTCTTTTGTATGATTAGTATAATCACATATAAGATTACACCACAGTAGTTTCGTGTGGCATCGCTATGACCATTGACAGTAAACGAAATGGACACAGCGACCCTATTTATTTCAATGGAGAAAATTGAAGCCTGTTAAAAGCTGATAGCCAGGCGTATTGCGCTGGCTCAAACCATAGACAGTAAAAGAAATGGACACAGCGACCCTGTTGATTTCAACAGAGAAAATTTCAGCCAGATAAAAGCTGATCGCCAGGCATAATGCGCACGTGAGCAACTTGTATGTCTTCTAGTAGCTGTGCCAAGTGAAATCTGATTAATTCCCTTCCGAATCTCACAGAGATGGAGAGAGCGAGTATTAGCTGTCCATGAGCTTGCAGCAGGATCAACTTTATGACTCTCCATGGGCTTCTCCCTTGACCGGACTTTATGCCTCCACGTCCCTCTAGACTGCCTGCTAGCTTCTCCTGTCTCTACGGTAATTTCTCTACTGTGCGACGGAGATTCGATTCGTTATGATGAAATCGTCAGCCTATTTTTACAAAAACTGTTTCTACGCGGCCATAGCGCAAGATACAAGGTAATGGAGCCTTTTATACATTGTTGTGTTTCTTTAGAAATAAATAATGGACAAATGGAGTCTTTGGATGCCTCAGATGTAAAGTTATTCGCAGTCAAAATGACACCAAAATGAATGGGAGTCAATGGAATGCTAACAGCAGATGATGGTTTGCTGCAATGGCATCCCCCGGGAGGTTTCAGTTTCTGGCGGATGGATTACCCCCTTGGCTATGACGACCGGGCACTATTTGTGAAGGTACTGTCTGCAATGGAAAATGTAGCGAAAAGCGAGCTGTGTAGAGGCAGGCCAAGGCAAGTTGAGTCAAGTCGAGCGATATTTAAAAGTCGAGTCGAGTCGTAACTGTTACGATTCGACTCGTTGAAGTCCATGGTGTCAGAAGTGTCCAAACATACAGAAATAAATGCAAATGGAATTTGAGAGTAATGGAGGACAGAAAGCGAATGATGACTTTACTTTTTCTACTTTTCTGTTCCACACACACATCTTATCATACGATATATTTTGCACAGTGCACAATGATACTTATAAGAGCTTGACAGCACATGGTCACCATTCACTTTCATTGTATATGAAGGTGCAGTTTGTAAATTCTACAAAAAATCTACTTTTGTGCTCCACATCTATTTTTGTAAGGGTGAGTAAATGATGAAAAGCCAGGACAGATAGAAGGTCCCTATCCTCAATACACAGGGGAACTGACAGTCTTGAAGCTTAGAACAAGGTAGGGGCTTCCTTTTCCAACAGAACCTCTACCATCCACGGTCCGCACTTATTTTAATGGAACGACGAGGTTAAGGTAAAAAGCATTATGGGATTGTACTGTAAGATGATGACCATGTTATGCTAGCAGGGTACTCAAGTGGTAAATAAAAAGGTTTTTCAGAAGAAAACAATTTCGGGCCCATCATTCCATTCACCCAAATTCTCAAGAAAAAGCAAAAATACAGACACTTCATCAATGCACATTTTAACTGAACTGCACTCTAGTGAGTTTGACTGTAAAAAGCCCTCCTTCCAGTTGAGCATTAAACATGAAACACACACACACTAAAATAGAAATACTGTACATTCACAGCACAACATAACTGCTCATCAAATGCTGCCTTCAAGAACTGCCTCTACAGCTGGACATCATTCATTAAAACAGAGGCACTCCAGCCAGATGAGGAAGCCATTAAAATGACGTGATATGACAGTGGAAATATTTCTACTTGATTCTAGGGAGATGGAAGGGTTGGGGCAGGAATAGGGAGAAATTAGTGTTAGAAAGAAGAAAGAAAAGAAAAACCACACAATTGTTTGGGTCTCCTGAGCTCCACTGCCAAATGCATTACATTTCTATGTATATAGACAACACATAATGAATCCCAAACTCTTGGTCCCTAGCGAGGTGCACAAGAGATAACGCTGCTTTGACACAGACAGCAAATTCTCTTCTTCCAGCCCTCAGAGCGTGCATTTATTTCTTTGCTCGTGTATGTAACCAAAAACATGCTGAGAACTTCCTGTTTGCAATGCCTGGAGAAATCCCTTTGGATTTAAAAAGTATGCCTGGTCTGAGATAGGAAGCTGAAGGCTGAATGAAAATTAATTTAAATTGTGTTGAACGTGTCTTATTAAGAGAAAAGTCAGCTGAACTCCCACAGTGTTATTTGAGCAATAGGGACCCAGGCTGCTCTTAAGACTAGCAATTAGCCTATTTTTTTTTATTGCATCAAGCAATGGTACCGTTCAATCAGCCAAACAGGGCAATAAACTCTGAATTAACAGGTGCAATTTTGAGAACACTAATGGATAAAATAAATGTTTCCCTTTGACTGATAAATCATTTGCTGTGTTCGGGAAACCAAGGGTTTCACAACCAAGAGGCATTAACCTGTAAGCCGATCTTTAAATATGATTCATGACATAACATCCATAATTAAAAAGGGATTCTGACATGGCATGGTAATGAATGCAAAGTAAATGCACACCACCTGATAGTGTGAGCCTAGAGCAAGCAGAGTGTTTATTATCTCCATGGAGCTCGGGTGTACAGGTTTGAAGGTTAGGTTGGATGCAAATGAAAATGTGTCAGCTGCACAAGAACATTAAATTATTATAAACTGTAATTTGCGTGCATGTTTCTCCATGATCCTTCTCGATTTGAGAAATTATGAAATTAAGTCTGTATATGTTTGGAGTCAAATGCAAAATCAGTCATGGGAAGGCAACCTGAATTTTATTTATTGTACCTAGTGCTATAAAAATACACTGCCATTCAAAAGATTTTTAAGGTTTTTGAAAGAACGTTCTTAACTTCTTACTGTATGCTTACCATGGCTTCACCTAATCAAAAATACATTTAGATCAGTCAGTAATAATGTGGAAATATTATTGTTACAATTAAAAATAACTGTATTTTATTTTACATTTTTGTTAAAGTGCCCCATATTACACTATTTTAAACATTCCGAATTTTGTTTTGGAGGTCTCCTACAATAGGTTTACATGCATCCAAGGAACTAAATTCCAGCTCCAGAAATTCTCCAGAATTCACCTAATACACAGAGATACGAATAGTAACAATGATACGGACATTAACAGTAACAACGTCAGTTTTACAGTATCAATTTCAGGGCGAGTCCTCTGCCTCGTGAAGTGCATGCAAAGGGAAGAAAAGTGCAGAAAACAGCGTCTTCTTGACATGTCGACAGCACAACATGTTGCTTCTCAGCGACTGTACATCTACATTGTTTGAAGGCGGGTCATTGTACAGGTAGATGTTGTTTGCTGAGAGCCAATGAAGACTATAGGCTGACATTGTGCAAATTTGTAATAAACCAAAATAGATATGTTACGGATATGAGACTGGAATTGATGATGACTCGTCTCAGCTGTTCAGAATCGATTATTTCTTTTAGGAGACAATAACTTTATTTGTCGTGCTCTTTGATCTTTTACATTCACAATTTTACAGCTTACACACTACATGAAAGGTAATAAAAAAAATAAATAAAAAAAAAAACATAATAGGGGCATTTTAAAATTAGTTTTTTTTTCTTTTGTTGGCAAAGCTGATTTTTTTTGCAGCTATTACTCAAATCTTTTTTAATTATTATCACTGTTAAAAAAAATAATAATTAAAATGGTAAAGAGTTATGGATTCCTCAATCATGTTTTACAGGATTCCTTGATGAACAGAAAGTTCAAAAGAACATAATTTGTTTGATATAGAACATTCTGAAACAGACATACATTTTTCATTAATTTAAAGCATCATTACTAAATAAAAGTGTCAATTTATGGAAAAGATTAAATCTAACTGACCTCAAACTTTTGAACCGTAGAGTACATTTTAACTAAATCAGGTTTATTCACTTTTATTGCATGCATTATTTAAAAGCCAACAACAGGCTGTCTTTATAATATCACTATTTTTCTCACACAGAAAACTTTTTTTTAATGCATTATATAATAGGCTATATAGCAGCTTTTATATTTTAAAAAGGGGATCATAATTCCATCGTAAGGGGATCATTATATTTTGGGGCTCCTGACATCAAAAACCCAGCTTTATGGCACAGCGTACTCACAGAGAAATTGCCTTCTTCTTATGTATAATTACATGCTGTGACTCACCTTTACTGCCACAGGTGTGTGAGCACTCCGTCCAGGGCGCCCAGTCAGACAGGATGCAGTTAAAGGGACAGTCCACCACACAATTCATCGCCAGTCTCCACGGCTGCGACAGGCCCAGCTAAAACAGTGGGACATGCATTAACCCCTTCACCACACACAATCTATGTCTGATGAACCAACTGTGAGCCAATGAGGGGCTATTACTGTAAAAGACTTCAATGAAAGAATCATTTAATGGATATGGAGCAATACTGTAGGGAGTTAATGGACAGTCATGGCTGATTTGCAGTGCATGCAGTTGAAGGACATAATACAATCCCACAGTGCTTAATTCCCCCTCAGAGAACACTTGTTCTGAGAGGAGTAGCAGGAGATGAAGGTTACCTCCTCGCACACACTCAAATCCACCACTTTGCCATCACTGCGGACGCAATCTACGAGTCGTGTCCTCGTGCCCTGGCCGCAGATGGCATGTTCGCTCAGCTGACAGGTGCTCCAGCCTGCCCCGTAACCAAAGGGTACAAAAGCACACACACACACAGGAAATGTCAGACCAAAGCGTCAATCTAATTTCAAATTTCTGTACACAGCATTTCAATTCCTATGAATGTCTATTCATGACTAAATAACAATGTGCATACTGCATACTTATCAGTTCTACATTATATGCAATATCAGGAGGAGAAGCTTTTCATCAAAGTATATTCAAACACACACAAATGTTGATATTCTACACAACCCCTCGTGTTGTCTGATGCTATATCAAAACACAATTCTATAAAATTGTAGGATTTTGTAGTACTGTCATAATGGCTCACTCCATATTTAATATGACATATTAGTACATATGTACACTACTATTCAGTAATTAAAAAAAATAATTATTTAACATTAATATTGATAATGTTACAAAGTATTTCTATTTCAAGTATTTCTATTTCAAAGGAATCATGAAAAAAAAATATCACGGGTAACATAAAAATCTTTAGCTTTGATAACACTAAGAAATGATTCTTGAGCATCAAATCATGATATTAGAATGATTTCTGAAGGATCATGTGACTGAAGACTGGATTAATAATGCTAAATTTGTAATGAATTACATAAAAAAAAAAACTGTTATTGTAAACTGTAGTAGTTTAAAATAAAACTTTATTTTGGATCAAATAAATGCAGCCTTGCATAAGAGACGTTAAAAAAAAATCTTACCAACCCCAATCTTACCAACTTTAGAACAACAGTGTAGTTTTCGTAGAAATATGCAAATTGTGATTAAGCTAATGTCTTTGAAACAGCAAAGTAGAGTAGTGAGACGCACTGTGATCTGAAGGCAGATGTTAGGCCGTCTTTATGATGGTAATCTGTCTAAATCAGTCGAATGGCTTCAAGGAGCAGTATCAGTATTGATATGATCAGCGATTTCATGGTCTCTGTGCAAGAAAGCGCTTATAATCTCCTTCATATCTCCATGCCCATTTCCTTCATTTGGGTCTATCTGGGGAATTAGTATCTATCTGCTTTATAGGATGATCCTTCACATGTGCAGATGCCCTGGTTAGATCAATATAGATGGCAAGGAGTGGCTGCAGGCGAACAGACAATCTAAAGCAGTGGATTCCCTTCAGTTCAGAAGTTCAAATTCTAAGAGAGAGCAACATAAAGGAGAGAGGAAGAGTACGAGCCCTGAACTCACCCTTAGACATCATGTAGAATCTACTAATCTACTAATATCTACTAATTAGTAAGTGGAGAGTATCTCCCAGTACTCAACTGGAAGGCTTCCTTCTATGGCTGTAGTAGCCTGCTGCTTAAAGATCTGGACTGAAGCCCAAAAGATTGCGGGTCAGAACTTTGCAAGGGCAGATCCTTGAGCAATCATTGTGTTCTTGATAAAGGCACTTTATCAGATTGCCTTAGGGAAGCTGTCCTTGTAACTTTTCTTTCTCCTCTTTGCCACTTTTATCAAAATACATACAGCATGATCTAAAAGTCCATGCAATTTGTTAACATTAGTCAGGTAGCATGAACTAACAAATAACAAAAAGCTATTATTAATTTAAGGTTCATGTTAATTTAGAAATGTACTATTATTCAACACACTCCCGTGACAATTCGCAACTATATTATGTTTTTGGCACAGTAATGGCTTATATGTACGATCTCTAGTTTCTGTTAATAAAAAAAAAAATAGTCTAAAAACCAGCGGCTTTGTCATAATTACGGCAAAAATAACGAACATTTCTTGTGTGAAAAGAATTGAGGACCACAGACTGCTTTGGAATGTGCTGTTGAAGTGAACAGTCATTACATGCCACTGATTATATTCAGTATTGTGTCAAGCAGAATGAGAGAAACCCACTGGAGACATTGTAGTGATAATTGAAGCAGGTGCTGTTGAGGATGCAGGGCTCTGTCTGGTTACTGTCTAGACACACTCTGTCGGCCACTGGGGGGCGCAGCATGTGTCTCGTCCTCATCCGCGCTGTGCTTTCGTCACATGGCTACGAATAAAAACAGTTAAAATGTCAATGGGGCTTTGACACCAAGCACACTATTTTAAAAGTGCATACATGAACAAGTTACTGCCGTGCTGTGTCCCGCTGGCTGCATTATGAAAAGAAAAAAAGAAAAAAACAAAAAACACAGCACACATGGTCTTGCAAAGCTAAGTGCACTGTTAGAAGCTGTTAGGCTGCAGGCAGCAACTAATCTGCATCTCCATCACTGTCAGGCGCTAATGAGACCCTTTAAACGACTAGCTGGCCACGTTACTATTGGGGAGTGAGATCATCAGCACGAAATCTATTCAGCTCGTGCCATATAACTGTGCACCCAGGTTTTTTGGGAACATTTCATAATTATGTAAAACTGAAACCAATTACACAAGCTCAATCACCGAACATTGGTGTTTGACATGTATGCCATGCTGGCTGAGTGCTTTGACAAAGCGAAGAGAACAAACAATGCTTGGAACTGAGACCGTACAAGGTAGAATTGCGATCTAATGTGATTAGCGTAGAGACCAAATTATGCTGAAATGGCTTGGCAGTCTTGTGTAGGTTGGGCTGAGCCAGGATAACACGTCCAGTTTATTTCTGATTTGTTGAGGGCGAATTGAAGAGCTGTTTGCACATCAATGAGTCAGTGGCCCGATGGCAAATTGTATCTAGGGTAACTTTTTATGCACAACATTAATTAGAATAACAAATGCTTCATTACTACTGGAGGTTCATCTGCATACTGATTTCACTTGTCTCCATATTCACCGTTTGATATTTCGCAGGAACTCTGGAGAACTGTATGAAGATTTGACTTGCGAGGCAGCATTAATTTGAAATATTTAAATTAATGCAAAACATCTTGACACTTTGTTGTCATGGCCCGGGCTGAGAAAGAATCTTGCAAAAATATACGGTAAAACGTTTCTGTTCTTAATTCACAGACAGAAATGATCTCTCAAGAGGCATATCTCATAAGAGCTCATAAACACCAGTGCATAATTTTCACCTACAAAATGTCAACACTGCAATCTCTCTAAAAAACAGCTTAGAGCAGTATGAATCTCTATGCTAGTTTATGCTGGTCAAATGTTAGTGGAACATGACCAAAGTTAATCAGTGTTAATCTGCTGGGATACATGTGTGAACTTAAGGATAACTGACTTCATGCATAAAATACACTTAAGTACCAGAGATGCATACATTATATTGGTACCAGTTTGGCATCCACTTGATGGTAGAGATACGTGGATGGGCTATTATTTCATCCACAACCTAACCAATTTTCAAAACCGATAAAACAGATATTTTTAAGAGTTAAATCTAAATATTACACCTAAATGTAAATGTTAAATCTAAATGTTAAATCTAAATGTTTCGGGTGAAACTTGAATTTGCATGGCCTATTAGCTAAATATTTTTATCCTATTTTAAACTAGCCTACATACTAATATATTATTATTTCACTTTATTTTTTTAGCAAATAGATAGAATGCTCAAATTAAATAACAAGTAATTTACATTGTAGGCTAATTATCTGTCAGGACGAGCCTGTTATGAAGACTCCCGTTAATTTTGAATGAACGGGAAGAGAGCGGAGACCGCGTCTTTTTCAGGCACAGTTCAATTCATTTGATACCATCAACAGGCCTAACAATCATATAATAAACTACAGAGCCTGAATATTAAAGAAACGTCGACTCTATTCATTCCGAAATTCGATGAAAGTCCACCGCACAACAGTAGACATGTTCAAATTTGTAATTATCAAATCGGAAATCGGAAACAACACCAATTCTGCGACACAGATGAACTTTTATTGATATCTCTATCAGACAATGCCTATTATCAGTGCCAAAAGAAACAACAGTCAGTGAAAAATTATTAAAATAAATAAATAAATAAATTTCCCAATGTAGATATAGTCAGATAACAACATTTAACTATATATTTTTCATTTGATTGGTTCAACCGCCCGCCACCCGCCCAAATTTAATAAAAAAAATTTTTTTCGCCACGTCATCTGCCCGATCTGCAGTTTATCCGCGGAGTCCACGACTGTTACTGCCAACTGTGCATCTCTATTGTAAAGAATTCTTAAAAAAGAATTTCTTTAAGAATTTTAAACATTACGTGAGCTTAGAATTATAAGGTTCTATCTCCGTTTAGGGTAGTTATGAGATATTGAGCATCAAAGTTTTTACATCCCAGCTGGCAAAACTGTTATGCAGTATAATCTTCTATTATAGCTTTATCTATTAATCTTTTTTTTTTTTTTTTTTTTTTTTTTACAAAAATAACACCACACAGGCATTAATAAACACCTAATGGATCAGATTATGTCAAAAACTCAATTTCGACCAAAAGTGGAGATATTCTAAGCTCACGATTAATAAGTCTTATTAACCCCAAACTTTCGAACAGTATAGTGTAAATATATGCTATTTATCAGTTATCGGCCATAACATGAAAATAATGATCTGCTTATCGCTCTTTTAGCTTAAGAGTCTGCTTAATTGTGGGCAAATACATTTTAGGGCCTCTGTATGCTAGTCTTTGCATCAGGGTCAGCTAACAATGTTAAAATTGTGCCTTCAGGATATACAGCACAGGACAAAAAAGGACGTCTTACTATTGAACAGGTGCTCCATTGACTCCACTGGGACATCACACAGTCACCAGGGCATGGAAGGACGCAGGTCTGAGCTTGGGGAGGGATTTCTTCCTGGTCACACAGGGTCTCGTTCACACTGCTAACCGGATCCCCACTAACACGCCTCACACACCTGTCACGCAGAAAGAACAACAGAATGAGGATGTGGAGGACAAGGGTGGCAGACCGGAATGGGTCGTGACCCCTCCGAGAAGCATCTGTGATGGGGTGTACTCTGTAAGAATGTGTCCTTGCTCACCGGATCTTGCGGCTTTGGACACCCTCTCCACAGGCTGGCAGTTCGTCTACTGTGTTGATGGTGCAGACTGACCAGGGGTCTGTTACCCACTCGTACTGACCACACTCGCTTTGACAGGGTACAGCCTCATACACCTACAGACACACAAAGACAGCCATAATCAAACAATTTCAGCAAAATTCATTTCAATTTTGAAGCTTTCATGATTGTTCTTCTCACACATACAGGTGGTTAAAGTGAACCAGAAATGCTGGAATACATTAAAAAAGAAATGTAAGGAATCTTGTAATCTGTTTTATATTTATGAGATTCCCTGTAGACATTAGTCAGAGTAGACGCTATCTTTAATCTGATGCAAACAAAAAACAAAGCTGTGAGGGATGGAAGTACAGTCTGTTCAACAGTCTTCTTGTAATAACTTTATCCACTTTTTACTCAGCCAACATCACTTAAACTGGGGAAGAAAAAAAAAGTTTGCCAATAAGCCCCACCAGGATTTCAATTGACTCTATTCCTAAATTATAAAAAAAAAAAAAAAAAAAAAGACGGAATCAGCTTTTGACTGAAACAAATTTAAATTTTTGTGTTTAGTATTAAAAATCCACCAATAATCATGCATTTATTTGAAATATTAAACATGCATATCTAATAAAATAATGTACTTTAATCTACTTGTGAAATCAGGCATCATGAGGACAAGACTATGATGATTAATTCTCATTGTATACAGCATTATGTATACAAACAATGAAGCTCTAGCCCATAAAACCTGTCTGCTGCTCTTAACAAAAAGCCTCTGAAAATTCTCTAATGCGGTTTTAAAGTGAACTGGTTGAAAAAACACGAGACACGTGATTAATGCGTGGAGGAATCACTTAGGAATATTACATATTACAAATGGGCCTGCATGCCTCAAATCTATCTTTTTACAACACCATTATTTAAACTGTTTGGCACACATATAGTGCGCTATTTGGTTGAATTTGTATTAATCCTGACCTTTAACCTTCATGCTCAAAAATTCAGGTTTGTTTAAGGAGGAGAAAAGTCCTCCCCAATCCACTATAAACTTGGATTCAGGTTTGGCCTCACAAAATACCCAAATTTTCATGATCCAGCCGATCTATTTCCAACTAAATCAAGCCTTGCAAATGTTACACTTAGGATACGTCAAATGAATGCCACATGATGTTGTCCTCAGTCTCTCACAGCATTGTTTTCATTTTTGTCAGATGTTTGTCTATTCTCATTATGCTTCCATTTCTTCAGTTTGTAATGATGGCTGATGACCGGCAGGAGGCTTGCAGAAGGCTTTTTGATGTTTCCTGCTTATTAAATTCAGTAGACATGATTTTATTTTCCAAATGAGTCCAGACAACACAGTCTCATGAAGATGCGTTTCTATACCACGAGTGTCACTTCTCGTGGCATTTATACGCCAAAAGTGTTTTTTTCGTGTATATGGTACGCACTAAAAAACCCTGGGTTAGGTTTAGGGGGGAGGGGGGTGGGGAGTTCGTGCGTATTATACGCAAAAAAGTGCGTATCATATGTACGCGAAAATCGCGTGCCATATACACGCAAAAACTGTTTTTGGCGTGCAAATGCCACGAGAAATGACATTCGTGCCATAGATACGAACTTTCATGAGATCGGGCTGGTCCAGAAGCCAAACACTGTAGTTATAAAATACTTGACATTAAAACCAACAAACTTTGTAACAAAATGACTTATGAAAGACACAGTGAACAACTGAGACTGTAGAATTATAGCTTCCTCTCAAAGGGGATATACACACACCTAAACGCACCCTCTCAAAATATCCCATCTGGCCCTGCAGCTGCTAAAAGCCCCATCAGGCCTCTCCTCTAGTCTCCTCTCCTCTCTTTTAATGAGTGTCATTGAATTTCCAATTACAATAATCAAATGATTGTTAAGACAATGCTCAAGACGTGAGAAGTGAGTGGAAAGATGATGAATGAAATTGGCAAAAAACCTACTGAATCATTGAAAAATGTGTTACCTAATTTCATTAACATATCAAGTTTTACAAACATGACAATATCAAGAAATGAAATTGCCACATTATGAAACAACCATTAAAGGAGCAACACTCATCATCAGCAGCAAATGATTTTATCTAAATACAATGAACAGGGACAATCAGTTTTACAGCGTGCTTTACACTTGTCATATAAAGCAAAGGCGGTGCTCAGATAAAACACTCAAATAAACGCTGGAATCTGTTCTTTAAATAGCACAAATATAAGATTCTTTCCTCCTTCATGGCGACTTTTACTGCCTAGCTTCAAGCGGATGTAATTTTTTAAGAAAAATAAACCAGCAACGCTGCTCACAGGTCAGTTCCTGTAACCTCTTGGAGGATGTAGATACTCTGGGCTGGATAATGAAGTCTCCTGATCCTTCTCAAATGTCAGTCGAAGGGCTAGAGACGACATGAAAATGTACTTTATACTAATTCAAATCTCAGTCAGCCCATGATCAAAATACACTAGCGCTCCTCTTATTCGGAGGACGGCTGGGGTCACGGAGGCTAGCGGGGGCAGTGGGGTTAACAGATGCACAGGGAGAAACACAGAATGAGGCACTGACCTGAGCCTTTGAAGATGTCCGTATTAGCAGTGCATGACAGGCAAAGGAGAGAGAAGAGAAATGATATATATATTAGTTTTGAGATTTAACTTCTCCTGTGCAGTAGTTTATACCTGTCTGGCTGACTAACCTTCAACAGATTATGAAGTACAGCAGAAATTTAATGCAGCTTGTCTGGCTTTGTCTTTCGGTGTGTGTGTAATTATGTTTATATGAGGAATGAAGATGAAGACAGTAATGTCCATGTCCATACAACACTAAGTTAGATAAAATGTGCTTTTGCACATTTTCTATTATGAAAAATGTTCAATGACTTCACTGTAACACCAGATTATTTCACACATCACTGCTCTCATGCTAGTTATGCAATACTTAGTTTGGCAAGCAATAGCACATAAAGAATAAGTAGGCCTATTCGTTACAGAAATGATGTTAATAATAATAATAATTTGTTACATTTATATGGCGCTTTTTCTGGGGACCTCAAAAGGCTTCACATTTGGAAGGGGGGAATCTCCTCAACCACCACCAATGTGCAGCATCCACCTGGATGATGAGACGGCAGCCATATTGCGCCAGAACGCCCACCACACACCAGTTTATTGGTGGAGAAGAGCCAATTAGTATATAGGGATGATTAGGAGGCCATGATGGACAGAGGCCAGGGGCAAATTTGGCCAGGATGCCGGGGTCACACCCCTACTCTTTTTCGAAGGACATCCTTGGATTTTTATTGACCACAGAGAGTCAGGGCCTCGGTTTAGCGTCTCATCCGAAGGACGGGCTTTTGGATAAACACAGCTAACATACTAGTAACGACCTTACAGTGGCTTTTGCATAATAATTACTTATAATTACTTCAATATTTTTTTCTAAACACGGTGTTAAATTTATTGGTTTTGTTTCAAAATAAATAATCATGAAAATTATGCATTTTTATCAAACAAAATTTTGTAGTATAACCAACAGGAGAGCAATGACGTGTGAACCGAATTCGGTGACAGTACAGTTTATCACAGTGAAGTTATTGAACATTTTTCATAATATAAAATGTGCAAAAGGGTTTTGGGTTTTGCAGTTTGCAGACGGTCCCTTATTCAGACTTGTCTCTCAGCCTCCTGCTTTGAGACCAATTTATATTATAAAGCTAGTTTTGAAGAACATTTGGTTGTAGCTCATTGTTCTACGTTACGATAAATAGGTGTAATTTGTGTTTTGACAACATTTAGCTCACAAATATATTGATCCGGGGAGTTCGAATCTGTGAATATATTGCCAACGTTACTGAACTCCTAAAGTTTTCACTGACAGCATATCTTTATATTTGCCCACGTTCAGACGCTATGAAACACTCCTTTATTAACATGCGGAGCAGTTTGAAACGCTGCGAGCGGGAGATTAAAAAGGAAGTGTCTGTTCGAGTACACAACATTTTTTCCGTTGGAACACAAATATCCTTGCGAGGGAATGCAAAATTTCTCTGGGAATGCAAAAGATAAAAAAACAAACAAACAAACAAACAAAAAAAAGATGCTTTTCAAGGATGCTGAAATACCAAGCATAATCTTTTGTTCAAAATTTTCAAAGGTTGTAATATTATAAATACAGATTTTAATATTCAATAATGAACATTAAAATATAATATGTTATCATGCAAAGTCAAACGTCCTTTAGCATCATATGGAGCGTTATTTGACAAAACGGCGCTATACTATGCACATGGCACCCGTTATCGTTAATATAACACGCACTGTGATGGTTAGGTTTAGGTGTGGGGTAGGGTAGGGTAGTCTCATATTACGCTAAAGGATTTATGACGCCTTGGGTTCGCGTGAATATTAACGATAAAGGGTGCCATGTGCGTAGTATAGCGCCGTTTTGTCATATAGCGTTCTATGTGACGCTAAAGGATGAGAACGGGCTGTATCATACCATTCATACATACAGTATGTATTGGCTAATGACAATATACTGCATGGCAATAAAAGCATGGCATCCACAGTGCTGCACACGTACACACACACACACACACACACACACACAGCACCCTAACATGGGAGCAGCGTTTACACTAGCAGCAGAGACAGAAGTTGTAAGCCTAGCAGGCATCTCTCAGCTCTATAAATCTCTTTAAGTGTCACAGCCTGACTCAAACTTCAAACAGATTGGGCCATTACTGTCTCCTGGCCCCTAGAATCAGACAAAACAATCAGGGTGCATTGAAACACAGGGAGATAAATGCTACCTCAGTGATGGCTTCAGATACACTTAAGATGATGTTCTGATATTAAAACGCTGATACTAAGCAAAATAAAAGGATGATGTATCTGTGGGCTAAAGGGCCAAAAAAAAAGTGTTACAACGAACTAGTGAACTAGTGATACTAGACTAACCGAACTACTACTCAACTTTAAAACAATATTTTAAGACACAAATTTACAGCTGCCAATAAAACATCAGAGAAAAATTCAATGGGATGGGACAAGCTAAATTTAACATTTACTCATTCTGATGTAGTATGACTTACTTGTAGAAATTTGAGAGATTTGAGAGTGATAGTAGATGGCTAGATTTTCAGTCAAGAAAATTAATTTCCTTCTGTTCCTTGCACAAAGCTATTACAGCCTCTGAAGAGTTAAAAATATAGCATGAGTTTAATGGTGTTTGTTGGAGCTTTACAGTCTAATCATCACTGTATTTTTTTATCATATATGAAAAGCAGTGTAAACATTATTTAAAAAAAATCCCACAGATGTCAAATTTAAAAAGTGTCAGTTAAGACATTTATAATGTTACAAAGGTTTTCTATGAAAAAAATAAATAATATATATATATATATATATATATATATATATATATATATATATATATATATATATATATATATATATATATATATATATGAAGAGTATGGTTCCAAAACGCTATAAATCCATTTTGATGAATTTGAGTAAAACTGTGTTTTCTTTAGCAAGTAAATGGGAAGATGAAAACCACTATTTTCGGTTTCAAATTTTCACATAGCATTTGTAGGTTATAATAACAATAAAAAATGAAATCCAGGTTTTGATTTCCAAAGATTTATTATAAAAACAGATCGTTTTTTCCCCAAAATGCAATAAATCCAATAATATTTTTTTTTTCAAAATGCAATTAATCAAAATAAAATTTTATAGACATTGAATTTCTTGTGCATACTATAAATCCATTGCTTTAATATAACAATATTCGGTAACACTTTAAGGGTTAATGTCATGAATTATCATGAATTCATGGATAAATGAATTATGCATTAATTAATATTAATATCATCAGGAACTATCAAGTTTTTTTTTTTAACAGTTCAACGTTTTTCATTCATGACTTCATGGATGAACAAAACCTTAATTAAAACATTAACTAAGACGAGCACATCATCATGAATTATGATTTATTAAGCATGATCTAACGTTATGCATATACATCGCTGTTGTCAAACTTGGGACGTCGCCGCTGAACTTTTTTGACGGCGATCAGCTGTAAACTGGCTTGGTCCTGCTCGGTTTTCGTTGACTTTGAATAAAACAACTGAAAGTTTTCCAAAAGATCCTCTGGGGGTCAGTGTGTCAGCGTGACAGAAGTTTGATGCTGTCGTGTGAGAACAAGCAACAGCCGGCATTTCCTCCTCCCGAGTCCATCTTCTTCCTCACGTAAATGATTCGATGTCGATGTCACGTTTACCCATGCAGGATGCCTTACCCTCCGCAGGTTCACCAATGCTGTCAAAATTATTCATTTCTTTGTTTGTTTGTTGATCGAAAGGACACAATAGAGAAAACCTAGGAAGCCGGGTTAGTTAAAGCGCTGTCGTTACTGTTTACATTGCGTGGAATGGTGCGTTGCGATTGGTTTAGCTGATATGTGGCATTTTGCAGAAAAGGGAGACTGGCGTTTGTAGCGGTTTGGAAAGAAAGGGAGAAAACATTACATAATAACACGGCGGATATCCCGTTTTACGTAATATTAAACATTGTTTTGTATCTGGTCGGTATTGAAAAGTCCGATTTTTGCAGTAACTCATTTTTTTTTAAAATGGCGTTTATCGCGTTTTGGAACCAAACTCTTCATATATATATATATTCAAAAACTTACAGAAAATTATAGCTTTAAAACCCCATAGCAAGCAGCCAGTGACAAGACATGGCAAGGAAAAGAAAAAAAAACCTCCTTGAGATGTTTACATAGAATGAGGAAATGCAATGCATTCTCACCCCAAGGCGTCACCTTTGACCATGCTTCAATATTTGACGTTTTAGGCGCCCTTTAGCGTCACTTACATGACGCGATCCTACGGCGTCATCTAACTGACGCTAAAGGAAAGCGTCTGTTAGAGGACGCAGTTAGGTTTAGGTGTGGGGTGGGGGTAGGGTACACGCGATCCTAGGGCGTCATCTTACTGACGCTAAAGGGCGCCTAAAGCGTCAGATATTGAAGCATGTCCAAATGCTTCCCAAGGCGTCAGTTAAGTGACACCTTGGGGGTGAGAATGGGCTGGGAAATGCCATTGCCCTCTAACAGGCACATACTTAAATAAATCTACACATGATCCATAGACATGTAATCTTTTTGTAAATGAGGGTGAGTAAATGATAAACTATACCTTTAAACTCTATGGAAGGATCACATACAAAACATAAATATTGTCTTGACAGGAATCATTTTAGTATGGTGGATTATTCACAACCACCATCCTAATAAATTCTCTAAAACTTGGAAATGTTCATAAACATGCACTATTAATAACAATTTAGACTACACACACATTTTAAATCATGATTAATACCTTTCATACTTTTATATTAGCCTTTAATTCACTCTGTATTCCAACACTAAGCAGCAGCTATTCATTCTAATTTCATTGGATTAACACTCAGAGTAAGATTTCTGACCTTTTTTTCCAACAAGGGGATTCCGTGGCTATCAGATGACAAGTACTCATTTATTATTTATATCTTCACACAGTTCTC